TTTTTTGATGGAACCAGGAATTGAACTCAGGCCCTTGGGCTTGCCAGAGAAGCATTTATTCTACTGAGCCATCTCCCCAGCCCCTTAAACTAATATTTTTTGTTTAACTTAACTTTGAGCAACAAGTACATGGTTATGTTTGCTCAAGTGGGTAATACTTACATGGAAGCAGCTCAAACTTCAGTATATGTGGAGTGCAGAGTTTTTAAAGGATCAAATGAGATGCTGTGTATAAATCACTCAACACAAACTGGTGCTAAAAGCAAGTGCTGGCTACTTCCCTGTTTGCAGAATCCCGTTCATGCATTTGTTGAACACATGTGAAAGGCTTTCTCTACACCAGGTCAGGAGATACAAAAACATAATAGAGATCACCAAGTAAAAGAGCTGTAAAGTCAAGTGAGGTGCTGCCGTCTAAGTTAGCAGAAGGGTGCTGGAGTTTTTAGGAGAGGTTTCTAACTCAGTCTTAGAGTCCCAGAGGAAAGTGTCCCAGAGGAAATGAATTCTAAACTGAGTAGAAATGTTAACTGGCTGGGTGTGGGAGTGGGGTTAGGGAGGAAAATAGGTAAGAAAAAAAAAAAAAAGAGCAGTATGCACACAGTCCAGGGAGAGCAGGGACTGAATATGAACTCGGAAGGGTGGCAACGTAACATGGGAAGTGTGGGAGGTTACAAGGTCAGAGGACCCAGTCTAGGTGTTAGGACCAGGTGCTGTGCATGATGGTTGGGGCACTGCTGAGGGTTTTCTGCCTTTGGTGGCTGCCTGGATGTGGCTGCCTGGGCAGTCTTGGAAGCATCACTAAAAGTATTTTCTTGGTCTAGCTGGAGGAGGCCTGGTTGCTCCTGGTCCAGGTTGCTGACTAGTTTGAGGTATAACTGCTTCATTTTATAGACCCATTGGATTGTCTGATCTCATAGTTTCATTATGAAAATTAAAGAAGTCAATGTTTTTCCATCAGTCAATGCAAGGCCCAGCACAATGCCCAATTGGTACCTTTAAAATAGAATTCAGAGCAAATTGTAATTAAGTACTTTTGTACCATATACTTGGGCTCAAGTTTGATGTCAAAGTCCTATATGTTTTATTTAAAAAATTGTAATACCATATAAGTGAACCTCTTCAGAAAAAATAATTTGTTTTGAAAATGAGACTGTATAATTATAATTTCTTAAGAGTGAGTAATGTATTTCATACAATGTCATTTTGTACTCTATTTTTTGAGACAGGGTCTTCCTGTATAGTCCAGGCTGGCCTTGAACTGCCTATGTATCTTAGGCTGGCCTCAAAGTTGAAATTTTCCCACCTTAACCTCCTTGGTGCTAATATTACAGTTGTGCACCATCATATTCCATTCTCATTTTGGACTGTAGGCTCAAAATCAAAGCAAGTTTTTCTCTTCATGTAGTCAAGACTTTTCTCTGAGAAATTATGTGTGAACTAACAATTTAGTTATATTAGTAAATAGTTCTTAGTGTTAAACAGAGAGGTACAAGTAAATATGAATGTACATAGAAGTGGAAATTGAGGTACCAGATTAAAAACCCAAATATACTTTTAGGGGACATGGAATACTTTATTGAAGATTCTGAATTAAAATTACTGATTTTTTTCTTTTTTTATGTATTAGTGCAGGGTCTGCAGGGTCTCACTACACAGATCAGACTCGTAGTGATCCTCCTGTTTCCAGCCTCCCAAGCGCTGGGATTGCAGATGCACATCACCACTCCCAGTCTCAGTAATGCCCCAGGGGATTGAGCCCAATATTTTTTGATTAACATGATTCTGAATATCCCAGGAAAATTATTAAAAAGTGATAGATGATTGAGGGTGTAGTTCAGTGATAGAGTGCTTGGCTGGCATGGGTTAGACCCTAGGTATAATCCCCAGTATTGCCAAAGTAAGTAAATATTATTGTTTTTATATTTATATTTGGCTGGTTTGTTTGAAAATAATTTAAAATGGCTAGAAAATATTCCAAAATCAATAGCAGGGTGAGTAGATTACTTTTCTCACTTTATGAAACAAATGTGTGCTTTTTGACTTTTGCAGAGTTGAACAATGACCATAGTTGACAAAGTTGAATCTTCAGACCCATCAGCCTGTCAGAATCAGCCTGGCAGTTCCGAGGCAGTCTCAACTGGAGACATGGATGCAGGCTCTGCCGGCTGGAGTGCTGTGTCTTCATTAAGTGATGTTTCCAATCACACGCTTTCTTTAGGACCAGTACCTGGTGCTGTTTATTCAAATTCAGCTGCACCTGATAAGCCAGAGCCATCACCACCGAAGGATCAAGGTACTTTTTTAAAAAAATCGCTACCGGCGACTGCTGCATGAATGCTGTCAGTGTGTTCATAGTTTCAGAGAGGGGCTGATTTTGTAAGAGAGATTGCCTCCTGCGTGGCCAACATGATGGACATGATTTCCTTTAATGAGTAAGCATTCATTATTAACATATGTATCATAACAGGGTATTATTTTTCAGTTACTCAAATATGAATAGTTTCTTTCATTTCTAATTTTTGGGAAGATAATCTATCTTGGAGAGAATGGAGATGAGTAAGCCTTGTATTTTCAGCTAAGCAGTAGTTACTATGCTCCCTAAGTAGATACAATGTCTGTCTTTGGAAATGAGTAGATAATATAAACACAGTTGTATTTGTTACAATGTATTCAGATGAATGAAACACTGACACTTGTAATTGGGATACTTTTAAAACTTGGAATTAAAGTCTTGAAGATTTGAAATGCAAACAAAGGTAATACTAGAGTTAATTACTAATTGGAATGTTGTCCAGCTTAGAATAGTTTGATCTTGGTATTTTGAGGCCTCTTGCTAAGTGTGATACTATGTTCTGGGAGTGGGTGATGTGGTTTGTTAAAGATGTTTTGAGTTTGTGCAAGGGAAAGCTTGTATCACAGAACACAACTTAACTGAATGTTATATATAGAGGTTTGAGCCTTCCCACAGGCCATCTTTCTGTAAGGCTCCAGTTCCTTTTATATTGCTTGGGTTTCCCTTCTGTCCTCTCTCTGCCCTTGTCTTATTCTCTACAGACTCATTTTTCCTTTCTTAATTTTACTTTCTAATCCCTCACAAGCCAAAGTGTACTTAAATAATCATTAATAGCTCTTCAAATAGAGAAGTATCTATAGACCCATATTTGCTTTTCATAGCACCAAGAAACTAGCCATCCTTTGAGAACTTAGTTGTGTCTGATGATTTCAAAAATTCCTAGTATAGTAAGTTGTTTTTCAACATCACTCGAGTTCTGTCAGCAAGCATGGTTATTAATAATCTGTGTAAAAGCCTTAACAGGTCCAACTTTTTAGGGCCCACGTATGTAGTACACTTAGAAGTAACAGTCTGGTTGAAAGCCTATTAGTGGTAAATGGGGATAATGACAGTAGCAACCATCAAAACTGAAACTGTGACACCTGGGGAGGGCTCAGTTGATGTGATGTTAAGAACAGAGGGGTGCTGAATACAAGCAGCCAAATGTTCAAGGGAACTGGTGTATCTTATATTTTCTGTTGATTGCATTAAGCAGCTATAAAAAAGTAATTATAATGAATGCTCATGAAGTCATCAGCCAGTTTTGACACATAAGTTAATAAACTTATGGCCAGATCACCCACTGACCCCTTTTTTTTTTTAAATTTTTTTGGCACTACCAGTGATCAAACTCAGGAACTTGCACTCGCCAGGCAGGCTCTTATGCTGCTGAGCTTCAGGCCCTTGAGCTATATCCTTGACCTTTCCAGTATTTTAAGTGAAGACCAGTATTTCATTTTTCATTTATAAATATTTTAGTGTGTATATGTGTAGAATACTTTTAAAAAGTTAAATATGTGTACATTAAAAGTCTAATCAATATTTAGGTATCTCTGGTTGTCACAACTTTATTTTTCAGTCCTAGAGTATCAGGGATTGAACTCAGGGAGTGCTGAGCTATTTTTTATTTCCAGATAGAATCTTACTAAATTGCTAAGTTGTCTAGATTGTCATAAACTTGTAATTCTCCTGCCTCAGCCTCTTGAGTAACTGGGATTACAGGCATGCATTTTATGGGTAGCTAAATAATTTGTTTTCAGTAATCAGTCATTGAAAGAAACATCCACATTGAGTCTTCATTTTGGATTTGTGGCTATGTCTGTGTTCTTTTATAAACTTCCCCACTTTTTGTGTTTTTATTTATTTTTAAAGAGAAAACAATAAAAATAATGATACAGAATTTCAAAACAAGATATTAAAATATTAACAGTGGTTAGTACATTGAATATTATCTTCAAAGTGTTTTCTCATACAAGATATAGATATGAAAAATTGACCAAACATTGTAAGCACAAATCTGTCTTTTCAATGAACTAATAGAATTTAGTAGTGGAATTATCTTTGCTATCTTTTGTCTGTGTGTGTAATATATATATATATATATATATATATATATTTTTTTTTTTGTTGTTGTTGTTGTTTTTTTTTCCTTCCTGCATTTAATTTATTGAGGGAGTTAAGTCATTTAGCTTCTCATGTTCTGGTTTCTTTCTTTCTTTATATTTTATGGAAAAATAAGACAAAATCTCATAACAAAACAATAGAAGAATCACAGTAGTTATTACATTGAGTATGATTATCTTTAACGTAGTTACTCAGTACAAGACATGGGCATAAAAAATTCTCCAAACAATATTAGCACAAACCTTTATTTTCAGTGAATTAAGAGAAACTAGTGACATAACTGTCTTACATATTTTTTTCTTTCCCTTCTTTCCTTGCCCCTTTTTCCATCGTAATTTCTTTTTCCTTTTGAACAATTTGTTGTTTCACAATATCTGTTTTACATTTTGGACCTCATTTAGTCTCGGTTCTATCTTTTTAAATGTCCCTTTCTACCCTGTATTTCTGGTAATGATAATGAGATTTAGAATTTTGCTCAAGTATTGCTATTTGGATTTAGAAGCATGCTAAGTATTGTTTTTAAATGTTTGCTGTTTATTTTTCTAGCCCTAGGTGATGGCATTGCTCCACCACAGAAAATTCTTTTTCCCTCAGAGAAGATTTGTCTTAAGTGGCAGCAAACTCACAGAGTTGGCGCTGGGCTTCAGAATTTGGGCAACACCTGTTTTGCCAACGCAGCATTGCAGTGTTTGACATACACACCACCGCTCGCCAATTACATGTTATCACATGAACACTCCAAGACATGTAAGTATTTGTTATGTGCTCTGGTGTATGTGTGGACTGTGGTAAGCTAACCTACTCATTTCTTGTTCCTCTGAAATAAAAAGCATTAAGTCGAATTATGTGGTGATTAAGAAGTTGGTTTATTCTTCTAGAATCCAGGGTATTTAGTTTGCATAAGAAGCATATTGCATCCCGTTTGACTTTTGCTTGGGTATTTAAAAGGAAGCCTATTTTATCATCATTTAGCATTTCTAACCCCATTGTAGTTTTCTACACTTATTAAAAATGTTTTTGTTTTCATTTTTGTGCTGGGGATTGAACCAGGCAAGTGCTGTACCACTGAGCTACACCTCCAGTTCTTAACACTTATTAAAAATGTGTCAATGTCTGACAGATGGAATAAATAGGGTTAAGAAATTTTTTTTTTTTTTTGCGGTACCGGGGATTGAACTCAGACCCTTGCACTTGCCAAGGAAGCACTTGTTCCACTGAGCTATCTCCCAGCCCCAGGTTAAGAAATCTTGCTTCTTTGGCATTCATTGGAGGGCTTGACTTGTTTTTGGGCTATAAGCCCAAAAGGAGGACAGTTCTCATGACTACCTCCAGCCTCATGCTTATACATATGTTCCGGTGCTTTTGTCAGTGATTTGGATAAAACAAGCAAAAGACCTTAGTTTCTTCTTGAATAATCCTTTACAGAATGGAGAATTTATTTTTATTTATTTATTTTTTTAGTGGCACTAGAGTTTGAACTCAGGACCTTGTGCTTGCCAGGCAAGCGCTCACTCTACTGAGCTATCTCCCCGACCCCTCCAAAAGTTGAGGGTTTTTTTTTTGGTTGGCTCGAGCTGCCTTAAGGGTGGGTCTGGGGATTGAACTGGGTATCCTGCTCCTGACTGCGTTTGCTTAAGCAGGTGCTTAAACAACTGAGCTAACCAGCAGGACCCCCTGAATGGAGAATTTAAACTGTTTTACAACTGTTTTTCGTTCAAAGAGCAAAGAGTACTTGTAATTTGTTAAGTACGGAAAAACTTAAACCAAGAAAAATTACCTAGATCCTCATCATGTAGAGGTATTTGCTATGCCAGGGTCTTTAAATTATAGAGTGAACATTCCATTTGTCCCAGATTCCTAAGTCCATAATTCATTCCCTACAGACAGCTTTCCTCTCACTTTTGTGCTCAGTGAAAGTAGGATGTGGTTGACTGGTACCAAGATGGCAAGAGAAAGTGTACATGTCCTATATATATTTTGTCTTTTGTTAGATTTACACCTTTTTCTTCCTGTTTCTCCTCCTCCTGTTTTATTTTTAATTGTAGGTAGCATTTTATTTTGAATTTTGGTGTCTTTCTAGACCTTGCTAGAATACAGAGGTATGTTTCATTTCGTTTGAAGTCCTCATCATGTTGATGTTGTATGCTGTGACCTTGCTGAAGTCACTCATTAGCATCAGGCTGTTTTGATTTTGTTTTCTGGATAGGTTCCTTGTAATTGTTTACATGCATAGTCACATCATATCATATGCTAATTAGGACAGTTAAACTTTATTGGTCTTTTGGCCTCATTTCCTTTTTTTATTTTCTTATATCACTGGTTGGATCTTTCAGTACTCTTTGAGTAAGAGTGTTGAGAGGAGAGACATCTTTGCTTCTTTTCTGGTCTTATGGGCAAAGCACTGAATTTGTTGTCTTTATTCCTATTTTTCTGATTCTTTTTTTTTAACCTGAATTTTGTTAATTTTTGTCAAATGATTTCTGTATCAAATTGATAAAATCATGTGATATTTCTTCTTTAGCCTGTTAATATAGTGAACTACTTTGATTTTTCTGTTATCTCTACTTATCTGAAATAAACTCTAGTCATCCGGTGTAGTTCTCCTTCTAGATTGCCTAACTTTAATTTGCTAATAGGTCTCATAAAGGTTTTTACATCTCTACTCAATCTTTTGTTTTTACATTGTCTTTATCTGGTTTTGATATCAGAGTAAAGTTAGTTGTATAATTTTGTAGCTAATAGGGGTACATTGACTGCTTTTGTTTCTTTTTTGTGAAGAGTTTATAGAATTGTTGTTAGTTCTTTTTAAAATGTTTAGAATGCTCCAGTGCAACGATCTGTGCTTGGGGATTTCCTTTTTGGGAATTTTAGTATCATAAATTGAATTCCCTTAGTATAGGACTACAGAAAATATTTATTTTATATTGGATGAGTGGTGGTATTTTGGTTTTTTGAGAAAGTGGTCTATTTCTTCTAAATTTATGTGTTCTAAGTATCCATAGTAGTTATTATCCTTTCAATGTTTTCAGGGTCTCTATTAATAATGTCTCCTTTTTATACCTGCTGTTAGTAATTGTTATAAAGTTCCCTCTTAGCACTTTTGGTATCCCTGAATTTTGTTTTTATTCAATTCAGTGTATTTTTAAATTTCCCTTATTCTTTGATCCCTGTATTATTTAGATATTTTCAGTTTCCAGTTATTTGTAGATTCTCTTTCTTTTATTGATGTTTTAGTTTTGATTCCATTGTGACTGGAGGAGACTTAGATTTTTTGAGGTCTCTGAAATAAATGTATTTTGCTCTTGGTGGGCAGGGTGTTCTATAAATGTTGATGTGATTTGGCGGCTGAATATTATTCAATTATTCAATATATTTTATGATTTTTATGTTGAATTATTCAATGAGTCATTGATAGATGTTGAGGTTTCCATCTCTAAATGTAGGTGTTCCTTTACCACCTCTTTGAGTTTGATTCATGTATTTTTTAGTTTTGCTGTTCAACACATTTAAGATTGCTATGTGTGCTGAAAATTGAACCCAGGGCATTTATGGGCTAAGCAAGTGTTTTTCTTTCTTTTTATTTTCCCAAGCCAAATTGTATCCAGCTTTATTAAAGATACTTTTCATAAACAATTATGGTATTTCAGGCAGGACATGAGCACACAATCTTTAACAGTATATGACAACTTTCAAACTCCCTTCTTGGATGGACTACCAAAAATCAGAAAGCTACTATAAAATCCAATGAAGTCTTCATTTGAGGCTCTGAAATAAGGAAAGTTTATAGTGAGGGTTGACATTTCACATTTAGCATGTTGTTTAACAACTTTTCACAAGCTGACCCTGATTTTCAGGAAGTGAAAATGGCAGAATTATCAATCTGAAGATCCACAATCTAGAAAAAAGAAATCAGTTGTTCTTGTGGGATACTATCTCAACGTTACTGGCAAGTCCAGATTGCCTGACACACTGGTAACATCACTTTTGGGAATTAGATCCCAATAGGTCTCTGGGCTTAAAGAGTGTTTTTCTACTGAACTATACCAGCTCTTTAAAATTTTGAAGCTATCATGCTAAGTTGCCCAGGCTGGGCTCCAGTTTGAGATCCTCCTGCTTCTTCCTCCCAAGTAGTTGGGATTATAGGCAGGTGCCACCACATCTTGAAGGATTGCTGTTTTCTCAATGGCTTGTCCTTAAATATATAATGCATCAATTACCTTTATGTCTCTCTCCCTGTCCATTTTGTCTGTGTCATTCATTCACTTGATATTGAAGATTAAACCTAAGTCTTTGGTCTGCAGTCTAACTTTATCTGACATTAGCATAGACATTCTTTTTTGTTTTTTGAGTAATAGTTGCATAATATGTCTTTTTCATCCTTTTATTTTCCATAACCTGTAGCATCATTACATTTGAGTTTTGGTTTAGACAGCATATGGCTAGATCATGTTTTTAATCCATTTTGTCAATCTGTGTCATTTAATTATGTGTTACTGGGAATTGAACCCAGAGCCTTTGGACCAACCTATAGCCCCAGCCCATTTTTAACTTTTATTTTGAATTTAATTTGTGTGTGTGTGTGTGCGCGTGTGCAGGTTCTCACTACGCAGCTCAGACTCGTGTCTCAGCCTTCCCCTCACTGGGATCATAGGCATGTACCCTACACCAAGTTTCAGTGGCTGGTGTAGTGTGCAGTATTGGGAATTGAACCTGGGTCCTTCTGTTTGCCAGGCAGGCACTTAGACTGCCGAGCTATCTCTCCAGCTCTTCACTTTTATTTTGAAACAGCATCTTGCTAAGTTGTGCAGACTGGGCTTAAACTTGTGATTCTTCTGGCTCAGCTTCATAGAGAGCAGGAATTATAGGTGTGGACACTGTGCTCCACTTTGGAAGACAGAGTTGGAGGTGCAAGAAAACTAGACAAATCACAACCATGGCATGCTGGGGTCCTGACTTTCCTAGTGTGTCTCATTTTCTTACCTTTATTTAACATTTTCTGTTTATTTAACATGTAGTTCTGAGGATTTTTTATTATTGTTGTTATATGTGGGAGAAAGAACAGGGAAAAATACTGTTTCATCTTTCCAGACATGGAAATCTCATTTTTGTGAAAGATGTTGACATCTTATTTTTCTTTTCATACTTGAAAAATGTTAGTGCATGATCTGCTGGTCTGTACAGTTTCTGATTAGAAGTCTGTTGTCAGTTTTCCCTTCCTTTGTATATATATATGGCATTTAAAAAAATTTCTTGCTGGTTTTAAGAATACACCCTTTGTCTTAAATTATTCTATTTGAGGCTTATTGAGGTTCTTCAATATGTGCATGTACCATTCCTATAAAATTGGAACACCTTTTGGTTATTTAAAAAATATATTTCACAGAATATAATTAACTTTTTTGTGTGTAAAGTTCTTTGATCTTAAACACACATGTGTATCATTTGTTATGGTTTGTATCTAGTTGTCCCCCCCAAAGCCTCATGCAGTCATTGGGGAAGTTTCTAGAGTTTGTGATTAATTCATGACCCAATGCTGGGATTATGGGTGTAGGTGCTACACTTGCCCTTGGGCGGATAGCCTGAATATGATATGTAGAAGGGAGAGAAGCTTGCTAGCTGCCCCAAAGCTGCTGTTCTTCCCTTTTGGCCCTTTGCTCTTTGCTGTTTTCTGCTACCAAGAACTGCTGCCTTCTGCCTTGTGCTACTCTGCCTTGGAGCCAGCTGAGTATAGACTGAAACCTCCACTAACTATGAGCTAAATAAACCTTTCCTTCCCTAATTTTGAGTGCCGGGTATTTTGTCTCAGAAACAAAAGTAACCAAGACATCATTCATGTGAACCACCACTTTACCTTAGTCAGATTACAAAATTATCTCATTACCCTAAAATTTTTTTTTTTTTTTTTTTTTTTTGCTATTATAGATAAGTATTTCTTGATGTATTTGTTCCATCCCTTTCAGACTGCAATTAAATGTGTGTCTTGGACAACTTGAAATTCTTCCACAGTTCACTGATACATTTCCCTTTCGTTACTGTTACCTCATAGTTTCTTTTTTCTCTTGGAGCATTATTATGGCTCTCTTCTATCCACAGTGAATGTCTTCAAGTTCACTAATGTTTTCTTTTGTGGTGTCTAATCTGTTCCTTTTGAGTGTACTTTTCATCTCAAAGATTCTACTTTTCATCCTACAATTCTATATTGTTGGATTTAGTTAACTAGAAATAGTTTGATCTTTTCAGGGATTTTAAAGCTTTATTATGTAAGTTCAGAACAGCTTATGTCTAGGTAGCACCTATTGATGTTTGAGTGTAGGTAATTCTTTGCTTTAAGGGGATATGTTATTCTTTGTGTAGAATGTTTAGCAGTGTGCCTCAACCCACTACTTGCCAGTAACACCACTTATGAACTAGTGATCATTCATTACATTTTTGAAAGACTGCTTTTATAAAGAAGAAGATGCAAAGAGATCCTGATGTGTTACCAGGATGTGTAGACTATGTTGATATTTCTTTTCTTTTCTTTCTTTTTTTGTATTCTTAGGGAAGGGTCTACAGGGTGTTCAGGGTCTCACAAATGATAATTGCTTTTCTTTTTGTTTGCGGTACTGGGGATTAAACTCAGGACCTTACACTTGCCAGGCAAGTGCTTATTCTACTGAGCTATCTCCCTGTCCCTATGTAGATAGTTCTAACTCCTATTATGGGAGACATTCTTTCACATTTGAAGTTAATGGTAGTATAAGAAAACCTTATTTTCCCATTACAGAGTCACTGAGACCACAACCTTTGAAACTATGAAAAGTATGATTTGAGTCTGACTGTGACCTTGAGCAGATTTTTAAATCTCTGAGCCTTTTTTTCCTTTCTTGTGAACTAGAGCCAATATAAGCCTATCATTTAGGTTTTTTTAGAGAATTAAATAAAAATAAAAGGAGGTAGGTCAGTGTATACACCTAGCAGCTGTTAACTGTTACTTCATTTAAGGAATGTGCTCTTCATATATGGTTTACTGTCATGTTTTGCTAATATGGGGCATTGTTGTCTATCTTTCAGGTCATGCAGAAGGGTTTTGTATGATGTGTACAATGCAAGCGCATATTACCCAGGCACTCAATAATCCTGGGGATGTTATTAAACCCATGTTTGTCATCAATGAAATGCAGCGTAAGTATCAATCAAGTGGTATTTTTTAGCAAGATAGTCTTATGCTGAGAGGAGGACTACTAATATTATTGCCCAAGTAATCCTCCTACTTCAGCCTTATGGGTAGAGGAGACTACAGGCATGCACTGTCATGCCCTGCTTTTAGCTTAGTCTTAATGGCGTAGACGATTAAAAAAGAAAAGCCCAAAGTTTATTACAAAGTAAACCACATGTATTTTATTATACATGGGTATGTCTTTAATAGGTGACAGATGTTTAGTAAAATGTTTACTATATAGACTATTTTTTAAAATTTTAAAGAGATGACAGTATAATACAAAAGATTATATTTAGTTTAATAGAAGCAGATTTTAAACAATTTAAAACTTAGTTTGTTAATGGTTTATTGAGATCTTTTCTTATATTGGATTTCTGTGCTGAGTAGTCCAACTCAGATATTGTCCCACATGTTTCATTAAGTGATTTACAATTAGTTTTAATTTAGTAAATGAATCCTGCATTATATAGTGATAAAAATTGTCAAAATAAATAAATTAAAAAAGAATTTCATCTAAAAATTGTCAAAATAGAGGTCATCAGTGTTTGTCATCTTAAACAAAAATTCATACTTACAGCCTAATATGAACAAACTTCAGTTTTTTTTCTTTTTTCTTTTGAGATAGGATCTCACTAATGTAATGCAGTCTGGCCTCGAACTAAGGGTGATACTCCTATCTCAGCCATCAATCTGTTATAGATTTCTAAAGAGGTTGCATGAAATTTTGTTGAGTATTTTCTGTGTACCTTCTCCCTACCTTCTCCCTAGTTGAATGTCTCAGTGTGTACCCCAGGGTAGCCTCATACTCGAGATCCTCCCTCCTCATCTTGGGATTTCAGTCTTGCACCACCACACTGTCTTTGTGTGCTTGTTGCATTCAGTTTTACATCATTTTAATTAACCAAGATGTAATAAAAATGCATATAAACAAAAAACTTTTCATTCTTAATCTGGTATCTAGCTTGGTAATTATAGGGATGCATAATTTGTATAGTGATAAGCTATGTCTTTTTGCCGTAAAAGCTGCTAAAGATTAAATTGGCCCTTAAAATTATTGATGAATCCGTGCAAGAGTGCAGAAATCTTTAAAGCATACTAGGTTCTGGCATAATTTTAGCCAGAGCAGTTTTAATTATTTCTATCTTTTATATATTTATTTTTAGACACTATATATAGCAGGCCTGCATAATAGCCTAGTCTTTAGGAAAGTGTCATTGTTCTGAATGTATACACATGCACGTGAATTATGGAACTGCTATTATTGTAGGTCAGAACGTACGATATATTGGCAATTTTATATGATTTAAGCTATATATATGTATATACACATACATTCCTACACATGTAAAACTCAGTGTATAATAGGTTTTGTGTTATACATTTGTGCTAGTGCTTTATTTGTAATTTTTAAAAATACTACTTGCAACTGCATAGTCATTTAGAAGGACTGAAATGTATAGCTGAAAATATGATTTGTTCTGTGGTCACTGGTACAGAATTGAATAGGTTGGATATTTATGTTCTGCACAGGGTCTCATGGATCTGAGTGTCCCATTTAAAGTGGGTGCACTAACCTAACGTTTTGGACGACCTTCAGTCAGTAGAACTGATGTGGACTCTATT